AATTAATTATTTATCGGAACAGGATATTTGGTTTGAGCACAGAGTCTGAGTTTGAGCATTAGAACAATTTCACGACTATTTGGTGTGCCTGTGCTTCGTTGAGGTTGATGGTAATTTTCTGTTTGTTTTGATAATTTCCTCGAACTAATTCGAGGACTTGGCATTGCCGTTGTGGTACATAATTGTGGTCTAGTTTACTCGATAAATCCGCCATCAGCATAAACTGTACTTTCTGTATCATTCTCTGTACATCTTGGCTATCTGCCAGACTCCTCGACTGTCACGTAATCCGTCAGATGACATGATTAAGATCATGCAAAGGAAATCTGTAAGCATGTGATAAGTATAGACCAAAAGCTTATACAGGCTTTGCTTATAACGGAACCGAAACTTAGACTAAACCAAATATTATGTTAGACCAAAATTGGATTTGATAAAATCCTGACTTACATTATTCTCATCATATTAATAATTACCAGTGATTGAGTTAGTAAATCGAGCACAATTTCGGGCTGCTGTCCTTATTACACCTCTATACATGTGTAACGTTTACGTATACGCGGTATATATAAGATTTTACCATATAAGTGTCTTATAATTTATTAGCTTTGTATTAATACCGAAGCGAATAAATTATTAATAAATTACGAGTTCACCATACATTTTGAAATACCCGTGTAAATATCATGTACGTTGGAAATGTAATTTGGTAAATACTATTATTGCTATCACCCATTAAGCTTTTGTAAAAATGATCTATTAAATCAATCTTCTTAGTTTGAACTCTATAATCAGGTGTCCAAGATAAAGAACATATTGCAATGTCTTTTTTGTTGTTTATCAATTCAAGAGAGTTTTGCGTGTTAATATCTTGACATTTGAATGTCATTATTATTACTGCTGTCAGACACAAGCATGTTTTTGACATTATACTCGACAAACATCAAATTAAATCTCAGTCAATTCTCTAAATGTACAACAATAATGGCGCCAAAAGCAGCATCACTGATCCGAGTAGCAGGACATATATTGTACTTTTCTTAAGGTAAAAGTGCACACGCGTCAACGAAGTACAACAACTTCGTATAAATATTCAGAAGAAACAAGTTAAACATTCCTGACGACACGACATCATTAACACCCTTTACTTATGGTTTAACACTTATCATTTTAGAAATCATCTTTAATTTGCTATTCATAAAAAATCATATGTCGATCCAAGCTTTAACATTTCAACGTCAGAATGAGGTTGGTCACAAGACTTCAGAGCGAGGGTGACGTGTTGAACTGATGTCGGAAGGTGTGACCCTCAAACGTCAGATCGAGGCTGACAGACCGATGTCAGAACAAAGGTGATAAGTTGCGTCAGAACGAGGATGGGGTGTAATATCAGAATGTCGCTGATGGTTTTACGTCAGAGCAAGGCTAGCTGCTTGAACATATCTCACGCAGATAATAACGTTACGTCAGTACGAAGCTTGTTTAGGTTTTAGAACGAGGCTCACGAATTGAAGTCAGAACTATGTTGAAGGCTTACAAAAGTTCAGCTGCGTTAGAGATACCTGTACCATCTATCATCAATACCTGTACCATCTATCATCAATACCTGTACCATCTATCATCAATACCTGTACCATCTATCATCAATACCTGTACCATCTACCATCAATACCTGTACCATCTGCCATCAATACCTGTACCATCTACCATTAATACCTGTACCATCTATCATCAATACCTGTACCATCTACCATTAATACCTGTACCATCTATCATCAATTCCTGTACCATCTATCATCAATACCTGTACCATCTACCATCAATACCTATATCATCTATCATTAATACCTGTACCATCTACTATTAATACCTGTCCCATCTACCATCAATACCTGTACCATCTATCATCACTACCTGTACCATCTACCATCAATACCTGTACCATCTATCATCACTACCTGTACCATCTACCATCAATACCTGTACCATCTACCATTAATACCTGTACCATCTGCCATCAATACCTGTACCATCTACCATTAATACCTGTACCATCTGCCATCAATACCTGTACCATCTACCATCAATAGCTGTATCATCTATCATTAATACCTGTACCATCTACTATTAATACCTGTACCATCTACCATCAATACCTGTACAATCTATCATCAATACCTGTACCATCTATCATCAATCCCTGTACCATCTATCATCAATACCTGTACCATCTCCCATCAATACCTGTACCATCTACCATCAATACCTATATCATCTATCATTAATACCTGTACCATCTACTATTAATACCTGTCCCATCTACCATCAATACCTGTACCATCTATCATTAATACCTGTACCATCTATCATCAATACCTGTACCATCTATCATTAATGCCTGTACCATCTATCATCAATACCTGTACCATCTACCATCAATACCTGTATCATCTATCATTAATACCTGTACCATCTACTATTAATACCTGTACCATCTACCATCAATACCTGTACCATCATTCCATGCTTGTCTGATAACCTTTAAACCTTGGAATGGTGAAAAATTTATTTTTATATAAATCTTTTATCGTTAGATCGCATGTTAGCATTAATTGAAGTCTGACATATTTTCTGGGGAGTAACACCATAAAAGGAAAAATAATTATGTCGCAAAAACCTTGTAGCTGATTGGTGTCTGGACGTAGCATTTCGCCCTGCAGATCAAACCTGGACTGAAAATAATGGCGTTCATAATTAAATGTTTCCGGATTAGATTTACTCCGAACAGCTGTCCGAGCACACATCACGCAGCTTATTATGCCCCGGGGTATTTGAACGACATTCACGTGCGCCTCTTGGTTCCTTTAAACTCAACCCCGGAATCGTCGCGGCGGAAGCTTGACCTGGTCACATTAAAATATTACGACAGAAACTGATTGTGACGGACATATGATGCGTTAGATATTGCGTGCACTTACAGTTTATCAGAACGAGAACAACTCACGTATGCTCAAGATCACGGAAACAAGTTTAATTCAATCAAGTGCAGTTGTACGTTTAAAATTTCAAACTTTCCACATCCCTCAAAATTGCCTAGTTGCAAATTTCTTTTAGAAGGATTCCAAGCGATGTATGTTGATGGAAAGTACAGGTTATTTAAATAGTATAATTCCAAAGGGAAGTATTGCATTATATCTATTTGTTCGAATTCCTTGCTTTGCTTGTGATCTTGAGTGTTCGTGTTTTTTCGTTGTTACTACCCAAGTTCTTACCTTGGGGATATGACATAAACAGGAATTTGACCTAGCACGTGTTACCTGGAAGCTGTCGTCGATGAAACTGAAGACGCATATTCTGCCAGAACACCCTTTCTTTCTTTTCTTTCGTATGCGTTTGCTTCAGTGTCTAAAGTGGCACATCGACCATTTTCTACTGTTGCGGCTCTGCGTGGTAATAGGCTCCCTGGTCCAAAAATGGGGGCATGATATGGTCAGGCGTAGTGATGAAAACGCCAAGTTTCTTTTATGGACCTTCAGGGAAACGTTTAGCGGTATAATTAGCGGTTTTTGTTTAACAAGGCCCCTGTATATTAATCAACACTAAGTCCATATGATGATAATGAAATAACAATCTATACATCCTTCTTTTTCAAACAGTCCAAAAGCTGGAATAGCTTGCTTATGCGTTTTCATTGGTGTACTTAAATGGCCTTTAATTAGCTGAATAAATCACTTGAATTCGTCTGGAATCTTCCGTGTCTATGAAAAGCTAGTAAAATGAAAAAAAAAATGTATTTCCTCTGTAAGTACAGTTGTACATTATATAATTTGTGAGCGCAAGTAACTGCTTTTCTTGTGATCACAGGAAACATATTTTTTAATCTTAACGTAAAATATTGGATATTGCACCGGTGCATAATTATCGACCATTTGAACCGGTGTTGGGTAAGGATGATGCACAAGTTTGTCGACCGGAAGTGAAGTTAATTTTGATAAAGTGTCATATACCATCGGGAAAAGAAGGATTGGCGATACATTTATAGACCATTCCATCCAAATCATACGGAACTAATTGAATTGCTCTGCCATGATACATCTTCCGTATCAAATTCACCATAGCATTTATGTGTCCCGTACGTATTACCTGTCCCGTATTTCCATTGTTCGTTATATTATTTTACATAAATATCTGGTGAGGTATTTCTTTTTATTGCACACTGTCATACATGTGGCGTCTAAACTTCGATACAGTCTGCGCTGGGTCGTCCTCATATATCATCATGTTTTGTCATGGTTCTATGTGTTTGTGGGAGTTATATGAATCGTATATGCACTGGGGACCCCTATGTTGTTCCCTGTGTACACCAGTCATTGTAAATAATGTGTGTACTATATAGATGGTTGTCAGTTGTGTCCTATGCCTATACAATGTAACAACTGGCAACCGGAACTGGAAATTATATTAGCGCTAACATATTGATGAAGCACGCAGAGACAGATGAACACTATCCGATACAGAAACCGCGCGCATTGTCATTTGCTACAATGGGTAAGCACTTTTGTCAACACCGAGTCACCAATTACCAATACCCAAGAGCAAAGCGTCCATTGATATCGATATTCTGGTGACGTCTAAACCAAATAACGAAATTGCGTCATTCCATATATCATGTAACTGCTACATATAATTGATACATCAACTTACTATACAGAAGCTATAGTGAGCAATTGCAAGTAGGAAATCAGTCGCGTTTATAGACTAGGAACTGTTTTGATATTGTGGCCACCCCCACCCCCGTAGGGACATAGTGCGCCCCCTGCCGTCACATACAGCGCCCCCTGTGGTTTCCCCAGTAAATAAGCACAATTCGCATCTTGCGGCGTCGCGGAATTCCCACTGACCAACCTTGCTATACATTACATAATAGCCCACGAGGCGCCGTTCTGATCGATGTATCGATTGACCTGCTAGCAGATGGTTATGATGGGGTCACCAATTTATCACCACACCACAGCTGGTTCTCAGGTTTTGCTGTTTACCCATCCTCGCAGTTTGAAGTATTGAACATAAATATCTGTTTGTCTAGTTCGTTTGTGAGAACTCAAGATAAATGTGTTTTTACAAGCTGTGAATTACTTTGAGTTGTCGTTGTCTCTCTAGAGCCACTGGCGCTTTAGTACTGGTTGATCAGTCCACGAAAAGGTGCCGTATGTCATAGCGGTGTGTGAGGAATGTCTGTCCGCCAATATTGAACTGTTTATACATCTACAACATCTGTGGTTGACATCAAAGGATAATGAAGAACCACGTGTTGGATCAAAACAGCAAAGTGAGTACGAATGAAACCTTCGATTTCGATTTTGGACCAAGTCCCTTTAATTGAGTATTACAGTGCCTGACATACCCTTAAGAGTAAGTGTTGCTACGGCCGTCACATTCAGGCGAACTCAATCTGATTAGTATCTGCCGATTAATATAGCAGAGCAGAAGCTTTTAATTTGTTATAGATGTCGTAATATTTATAGCTCATCTCTTACTTTTCAGTCAATGGTAATTACACTCGCTGTAATACATATCAGAATACATTTCGGACTAGGTGCATGGTATTATTATGATTGTGCAAGGCATGCTGAAACTGATTTTGATAAGTTCGTAATATTTGTTTTTACTGTGAAAGGACCAAGAGAAGAAAGAAAGAATATAAAGATTGTGTATTACCGGGATATCGTTGTGTGCTAGAACCCTAGTGTTATGTCACCAGTTGATTAGGTACATCTTTACGTAAACAACTGACCACGAGTGACAGGCGTGTCTGGTCAAAAGATATCGGCGTTCGTATGGATTAAATAAGTAAATTATATATATAAAAAGCGACTGTATATTAAAGCTTTTTTTAATAACTAATGTTTAGATATTGAATTTTATTCAAGTAATAACCAGGATTTTCTGGGTGCTATACGGTAAATACCAAGAAGTTGTGTTCACTACTAAATCCGCGACGACAAAGTAAAGTACCTTAAATAATCAAGGCAAGTCCTTATAATTGATTCGAAAAAGACAAATCCATTAAAAGTCCATAGTTCATAGTGAATATTTGTTCAATCAAAAAAAGTCTTTTATCACAAAAACAATACAAGCTGTAATTCCGTTACCAGCCAACTTCAACCAATCAGAAGCTAGAATTAAAAAAAACGCACCGAACATGACGGCATACGACGTCATCACGTCCATAAAATAAAGGATGAATTTTGAAACTGAAGCAGAATGCAAAAGCTTCACACAAATTTGATTGATTTATATTTTAGTGTGTGTTGGTACTAGGTTTTCTTCCGTTTTTTTTAACAAATGACCGATAATGATGTCACATATCATAATTTCGGTGGGTTGAAAGGATGTCTCAAGCTGGAGAAATTGTAGGCAACCTTCACAGGGTAACATAACAATCGTTTCACTAGACATCTCCATTACGACATTGAATCTAAGTCAAAAAGTACATTTGCATTAAACCTTCAATTATAATCATTTTGAAACCTGATAGAGATAGTATTCAAGTATTGTTTAGAAGAACCCCGGCAAATAAAAAAGGAAAGAAGGAAAAAGATAAAAAAAAAATGTAGTGAGCGTGACGTCCACGAAACGCAGTATAAACACAATTAAACACAAGAGATGGCTTGTAATGAAATATTACCAGAGGACAACTTGTATTATCAAATTGTATGAATATTTCAAATTAAAAAACTATGATTCCAATCAGACTTTGCCACGGTTACATAACCTGTTCACACTTCAGAGTATCATAACATTGGTCCGTGTAGGTTGTATCCCAGCGCTAGTAGTTATTTAGCTTTCCGTGTAGGTTGTATCCCAGAGCTGGTAGTTATTTAGCTTTCCGTGTAGGTTGTATCGCGTAGGTTGTAGCCCAGTGGTAGTAGTTATTTAGCTTTCCGTGTAGGTTGTATCGCGTAGGTTGTAGCCCAGTGGTAGTAGTTATTTAGCTTTCCGTGTAGGTTGTATCGCGTAGGTTGTAGCCCAGTGGTAGTAGTTATTTAGCTTTCCGTGTAGGTTGTATCCCAGCGCTAGTAGTTATTTAGCTTTCCGTGTAGGTTGTATCCCAGCGCTCGTAGTTATTTAGCTTTCCGTGTAGGTGGAATTCCAGCGCTAGTAGTTATTTAGCTTTCCGCGTAGGTTGTATCCCAGTGGTAGTAGTTATTTAGCTTTCCGTGTAGGTTGTATCCCAGCGCTAGTAGTTATTTAGCTTTCCGCGTAGGTTGTAGCCCAGTGGTAGTAGTTATTTAGCTTTCCGTGTAGGTTGTATCCAAGCAGTAGTAGTTATTTAGCTTTCCGTGTAGGTTGTAACCCAGCGGTAGTAGTTATTTAGCCTTCCGTGTAGGTTGCATCCCAGCGGTAGTAGTTATTTAGCATTCCGTGGAGGTTGTATCCCAGCGCTAGTAGTTATTTAGCTATCCGTGTAGTTTGTATCCCAGCGGTAGTAGTTATTTATCTTTCCGTGTAGGTTGTCTCCCAGCGGTAGTAGTTATTTCGCTTTCCATGTAGATGTATCCCAGCGCTTGTAGTTATTTAGCTTTCCGTGTAGGTTGTATCCAAGCAGTAGTAGTTATTTAGCTTTCCGTGTAGGTTGTAACCCAGCGGTAGTAGTTATTTAGCCTTCCGTGTAGGTTGCATCCCAGCGGTAGTAGTTATTTAGCATTCCGTGTAGGTTGTAGCCCAGCGCTAGTAGTTATTTCGCTTTCCATGAAGGTTGTATCCCAGCGGTAGTAGTTATTTAGCTTTTCGTGTAGGTTGTATCCCTGCGCTAGTAGTTATCTAGCTTTCCATGTAGGTTGTATCCCAGCGCTAGTAGTTATCTATCTTTCCATGTAGGTTGTATCACAGCGCTAGTAGTTATTCAGCTTTCCGTGTAGGTTGTATCCCAGCGTTAGTAGTTATCTAGCTTTCGTGTAGGTTGTATCCCAGCGGTAGTAGTTATTCAGCTTTCCATGTAGGTTGTATCCCAGCGCTAGTAGTTATTCAGCTTTCCGTGTAGGTTGTATCCCAGCGTTAGTAGTTATCTAGCTTTCGTGTAGGTTGTATCCCAGCGCTAGTAGTTCTTTAGCTTTCCGTGTAGGTTGTATCCCAGCGCTAGTAGTTATCTATCTTTCCATGTAGGTTGTATCCCAGCGGTAGTAGTTACTTAGCTTTCCGTGTATTTAGCTATCCGTGTAGGGTTTATCCCAGCGCTAGTAGTTATTTCGCTTTCCGTGTAGGTTGTATCCCAGTGGTAGTAGTTATAGCTTTCCATGTAGGTTGTATCCCAGCGCTAGTAGTTATTTCGCTTTCCATGTAGGTTGTATCCCAGCGGTAGTAGTTACTTAGCTTTCCGTGTATTTAGCTTTCCGTGTCGGGTTTATCCCAGCGCTAGTAGTTATTTCGCTTTCCGTGTAGGTTGCATCCCAGCGCTAGTAGTTATCTAGCTTTCCATGTAGGTTGTATCCTAGCACTAGTAGTTATTTAGCTTTCCGTGTAGGTTGTATCCCAGCAGTAGTAGTTATTTAGCATTCCGTGTAGGTTGTATCCTAGCGTTAGTAGTTATCTAGCTTTCGTGTAGGTTGTATCCCAGCGGTAGTAGTTATTTTGCTTTCCATGTAGGTTGTATCCCAGCGGTAGTAGTTACTTAGCTTTCCGTGTATTTAGCTATCCGTGTAGGGTTTATCCCAGCGCTAGTAGTTATTTAGCTGTCCGTGTAGGATGTATCCCAGCAGTAGTAGTTATTTCGCTTTCCGTGTAGGTTGTATCCCAGTGGTAGTAGTTATTTAGCTTTGTAGTAGTTATTTAGCCTTCCGTGTAGGTTGCATCCCAGCGGTAGTAGTTATTTAGCATTCCGTGTAGGTCGTATCCCAGCGCTAGTAGTTATCTAGCTTTCCATGTAGGTTGTATCCTAGCACTAGTAGTTATTTAGCTTTCCGTGTAGGTTGTATCCCAGCAGTAGCAGTTATTTAGCTTTCCGTGTAGGTTGTATCCCAGCAGTAGCAGTTATTTAGCTTTCCGTGTAGGTTGTATCCCAGCGCTAGTAGTTCTTTAGCTTTCCGTGTAGGTTGTATCCCAGCGCTAGTAGTTATATCGCTTTCCATGAAGGTTGTATCCCAGCGGTAGTAGTTATTTAGCTTTTCGTGTAGGTTGTATCCCTGCGCTAGTAGTTATCTAGCTTTCCATGTAGGTTGTATCCCAGCGGTACTAGTTATTTCGCTTTCCATGTAGGTTGTATCCCAGCGGTAGTAGTTATTTATCTTTCCGTGTAAGTTGTATCCCAGTGGTAGTAGTTATTTAGCCTTCCGTGTAGGTTGTCTACCAGCGGTAGTAGTTATTTCGCTTTCCATGTAGATGTATCCCAGCGCTTGTAGTTATTTAGCTTTCCGTGTAGGTTGTATCCAAGCAGTAGTAGTTATTTAGCTTTCCGTGTAGGTTGTAACCCAGCGGTAGTAGTTATTTAGCCTTCCGTGTAGGTTGCATCCCAGCGGTAGTAGTTATTTAGCATTCCGTGGAGGTTGTATCCCAGCGCTAGTAGTTATTTAGCTATCCGTGTAGTTTGTATCCCAGCGGTAGTAGTTATTTAGCATTCCGTGGAGGTTGTATCCCAGCGCTAGTAGTTATTTAGCTATCCGTGTAGGTTGTATCCCAGCGCTAGTAGTTATGTAGCTCTCCGTGTAGTTTGTACATGTATTCCAGCGGTAGTTGTTATTGAGCTTTTGTGCCTTCTCAAATACACGGCTTTCTTTCACAGTGGATCAAGCGGTAGTAGTTATTTAGCATTCCGTGTAGGTTGTATCCCAGCGCTAGTAGTTATATCGCTTTCCATGAAGGTTGTATCCCAGCGGTAGTAGTTATTTAGCTTTTCGTGTAGGTTGTATCCCAGCGCTAGTAGTTCTTTAGCTTTCCGTGTAGGTTGTATCCCAGCGCTAGTAGTTATTTCGCTTTCCGTGTAGGTTGTATCCCAGCAGTAGTAGTTATTTCGCTTTCCGTGTAGGTTGTATCCCAGTGGTAGTAGTTATTTAGCTTTCCGTGTATTTAGCTTTCCGTGTAGGTTGTATCCCAGCGCTAGTAGTTATTTAGCTCTCCGTGTAGTTTGTACATGTATTCCAGCGGTAGTTGTTATTGAGCTTTTGTGCCTTCTCAAATACACGGCTTTCTTTCACAGTGGATCAAGCAGTTATATTTGATACAGATTTGGTATAACAATGTTGTTATCAATAAATGTCCGCAAGAGGGGCGGTTTGTACGTGACGATTCAGCGTTGATATCACGATCTCAAAAGGCTAGAGGAAGACAGTTTTT